CATGTACGCTTCTTTCACATTCGGGCACGAATGTCCCCAAGGGGGGGATATTGAAACGACCCCAAAAATGCCCGAAAATGTGCTTCGGAAACACCTATAATTGTAATTTCCATATATCTCAAAATCCGTGCATGATTTCGGAAATTCGACTTCATATTCTTATTCAGGGGGTCAAATTGAGTGGGAAATGAGTCTAACCCGAATTTTAGAACAACCGTATCAAAATTTGAAAATCGCAAAAAAATGCGATTTTGAGGGTCAACTTTAAAGGGGCATATCTCTCAGCACACAAGGAACTGGAAGGAGCTCAAACTATCAAAATTAAAGCTCTGTGAGTTAGCTTTCCAACGCAATTTGTTTCGCCTCATTCCGAGTTAGGATGAAGGAGTTATGACCATTTTCGTAAAACCTGTCCGGCAGAAAATGCAAATTCCAGTAGCCGAAAACACTGTTCACCCGCCTCAATTTTTTTTCTAAGTGTTGGGACGTTTTTATAAAAAGGGGACATATCCATACTTAGTCATTTAACTTCAAAACATCCAAAAACTCTCTCTAAACCCTCTCCAAAAATTCCACCAAGATCATCAACCAAATTCAAGGATCCCAAGCTTTAATTCCGGATTCAAGATTCAATCTCAAGCAATTCTCCATTCCAATCTTCATCAAGAATTCTCCAAAGTTGAGGTATGTGGGTTGATTGTGGAAACCTTCCTTTCCACAAGTCCAACCATTTATCCTCTATTTTACTTCAAGTTTATGGGTCCTTATGATCATTTATGAACTCTTGAATTATGGAATTATTACTACACATTACACATCCTATTATGGTCTATTCTTGCATATTATCATGAAATGGAATTATTATGTGATGTTTATGGTTTGCATGCTTCCATGATCAAATTATGAAGGTTGATATATATATGTATGTTGTTGGTGGGCTGTTTTATATGGATTTTGAAATTGGTTGGACTTAGTACTCTTGAAACACATGATTTTATTTACATGAACAAGTAGCCCACCATATGTTTGATAAAATGCCATTTATAGAATTCTTATGAAATGGAAGGTCCAATGTACGTCCTATGAGTCGGATGATTATATAATTATTGAAATTATGATGAAATGGACACATGTATATGATTTTCTCTATATACGTGTTGTGAGTTGACCAAGCCTAGTACGGGGGGTAGTAGGCCCGTATAACCGTATCGAGGGGTTGGTACCTTGGTTGCCTAGTACGGGGGGTAGTAGGCCCGTATAACCGTATCGAGGGGTTGGTACCTTGGTTGCCTAGTACGGGGGGTAGTAGGCCCGTATAACCGTATCGAGGGGTTGGTACCTTGGTTGCCTAGTACGGGGGGTAGTAGGCCCGTATAACCGTATCGAGGGGTTGGTACCTTGGTTGCCTAGTACGGGGGGTAGTAGGCCCGTATAACCATATCGAGGGGTTTGTACCTTGGTCCCTAGCTCGGGGGGTGGTAGGCCCGGGTAACCACATTGAGGGGTTTGTACCTCTTTCGCCTCTCCAAGGGGGTGGTAGGCCTTGGAAATACTATATTGATGGTCACTCACCACATATGTACTATGTCCCACTAAATATGATTTTTATGTAAGCGTCATTATATATATATCGTTTCATTAATGTGCTATCTAACGGGTATTATTATGCATTTTCCTATGATGTCCATCTATTGTAGCATTGCATTGCATCCCATATACTTAGTACATTCAAACGTACTAACGCATACTCTATGCCTACATGATGTCACCATGTAGGGACCGGAGCACCGCTTGACCCTCGTCCTCCGCGTGGCTAATACGATTTTCTATCAAGGTTATTGGTGAGTCCTCCATTCCGGGGACGTTGCTCATGATCTTTTGCTATGTATAAGACTTTTTTTCTTTTTAGTTATGTTTTGACTATGAGGGTGAGCCCGGTAGTTTGTCTTGGCCCCCGCTAAGTACTCATGTTTAGAGGTGGTGTTGGACAAGTTGTGTATTATGCTTGAGCTTGACTCATCTATGGTATTTTTGTATCGTTCTTATTTTTGTTTCTCTTTCTCCCTTAGTCCCGATTCCCCTCTTAATTATGCTTATCGCTTATGGTCATTTTAATTGCTTCCGTGACCAAGGATGTGTAATGATACGCTAGGAGGCTTGTTTGGGGTTCCTTCGGGTTCCCCATTCGCCGGTCACGTCTAGGCCCTAGGCTTGGGTCGTGACAAATTCTTGGAGAACTAATATCCATTGAATCAGCCTTGGTTTAGCATCTTTCTTGTTCAATAGGTACCTAATAACTGCATGGTCAATAAAAACAATAACTTTAGTACCTACCAACTACGATCTGAACTTGTCGAAGGCGATCACTACGGCCAGCATCTCCTTCTCAGTCACTATGTAATTCACTTGAGTAGAGTGAAGGGTCTTGCTTGCATTATAGATTGAGTGGAACACTTTATTCTTTCTTTGTCCCAACACTGCACCCACTGCTACATCGCTTGCATCACACATGAGTTCAAATGGTAATTCCCAATTAGGGGCAATTAAGATGGGAGCCTCAATTAAGTTCTTCTTCTGCATCTCAAAAGCTTTCAAGCACATCTCATCAAAGTCAAACTTCACCTGTTTCTCCAGAAGGCTGCACATGGGACTTGCTATCTTGGAGAAATCCTTGATGAATCTCCTGTAAAAACCTCCATGACCAAGAAAACTACGCACACCTTTTACAGAAATGGGAGGGGGCAATTTTTCAATAACTTCTACTTTAGCCTTATCAACCTCCAACCCAGATTTAGACACCTTGTGCCCCAACACTATCCCCTCTTTACCTAAAAAATGACACTTCTCCGAGTTTAAAATCAAGTTAGTGTCATCACATCTAGCAAGTACTCTATTAAGATTTCAGAGACATACCTCAAAAGACTTCCCAAACACGGAGAAATCGTCCATGAACACCTGATCCTCGGGTGCAATCAAGATCTGGTTGTAACCTGAATAGCCATCTAGGAAACAATAGTAGTCCTCCCCTGCTAACCTGTCAAACATTTGATCAATAAAGGGAACGGGGTAGTGATCTTTCCGAGTAGCATCATTGGTAATCTATACAAATTCGCCACCCAGTCACTGTTCTAGTAGGAATTAACACATTATTTTTGTTCCTTACCACAGTCATACCTCACTTCTTGGGAACACATTGCACCGGACTTACCCACTTACTATCAGAGATTGGGTAAACAACCCCAACATCTAACCATTTTATCACTTCCTTTATTACCACTTTTTTCATCAAAGGATTTAGACGTCGTTGATGTTGTGCACTTGGTTTGTGATCATCTTCCATGTAAATTCTGTTCATACATAATGCCGGACTAATCCCATGAATATCAGCGATTTGCCATCCAATTGCTTTCTTCCTCCACTTCAAGATTTTCAATGCCGCCTCAACCTATAAATCAGACAATTTTGCAGAAAGTATAGCAGGCAAAGTTTCATTAGTACCCAAATAAGCATACCTTAGGTGAGCAGGCAAGGCTTTTAGCTCCAACTTAGGAGCATCTTCAATTGATGGTTTTGGAAGGGGCCCTAACTCGCGATCTAAGGACTCCACTTGAGTCATACGAGTTTCTACTACTGCTAGATTTAAGCATGATTGCTTCAGCATCTCCCTCTAACTGTTGACCCACTAACACTCTTTCTAAGGGGTCTTCGGGCAAAACTAACTGTGACTCTACTATGCAATCAACCACAATAATAGAAGACAACTCTTCATAAATAAAAGGTAATTTTAAAGCGCGGTAAACATCAAATACCTTTACCTTATCATGTGCCCTCATGGTTAGTTAAACAGATGTTACATCAATCAATGCCTTACCCATGGCCAAGAAAGGTCGTCCCAAAATGAATGGAACTTCAGAATCTGGTTCAAAGTCTAAGACCACAAAATCTACCGGAAAAATCAATGAACCTACTTGCACTAACGCATCTTCTACCACCCCCTCTGGCCTAGCAATGGATCTATCTGCAAGTATGCGAATAACAGTGGTTCGCTTTGGACTACCTAACCCAAGCTTTTGATACAAAGATAGAGGCATTAAATTTATACTTTCCCCCAAATCACACAACCCCCGGGCATGAACACTTTGCCTAATTGTAATCTGCACAGTAAAACTACCCGGATCTTTTAACTTTGTGGGTAGTCTGTTTTGGATCCTTGAGCTGCACTCCTCAGTAAGTGCTACAGTTCCATATTCAGTGAGTCTCCTCTTGCTGGCCACTATATCCTTCACGTATTTAGCATACTTCGGGATACCCTGCAAAATGTCAAACAAAGGTAGATTAATGTGAACTTGTTTAAGGAGAGAAAGAAACTTACCAAAGCATTCATCTTCATTCTACTTTTTTAGCCTCTGTGGAAATGGAGGTGGTAATTTCTTTTGAGGAACGGGTACCTCAATATTGGAGCTTTTTACTACCTCTTCCACCTTATTTTCTTTGTTTGATACCTCAATGTCTCTTTTCTTAGGAGCTAGTTCCTCTAATTGCAACCCACTTCTAGTACTTACCGCATGAAATTGCTTTGGATTTGGCTCAGTATCACCAGGCAGCCCGCCTTGGGGACACAAGTTCAAAGAATTTGCCACTTGCGCAACTTGTTTCTCTAAACTCATTTGAGACATCTGGATGTTTCTAATGTTCTCATCCTGCTTATCTATTCTAGCATTTAATTTGGTCCTTATTTCAATCATGAGCTTTTGAAATAGATCTTCATTTGTCATCCCCCCTTTTGGTGCACTAGAATTTGAGCTTTGGATAGGATTGTAGTATTGTTGCCTAGCCCCTTGAGAACGGTATTGGTTAATCCATTTCGCCTGATTTTGGTTTTGGTTCCCACCCCATGAGAAGTTAGGATGGTTCTTCCAACTAGGGTTGTAAGTATTACCATAATTTTGTTGCACTCCACCCCTTTGCGCATTACCCACATAGTTTACGGAATCCGGGTTTGCCTCGCATTGTTCGGTTTCATGAGTTCCAGTACCACATACCTCACACCAATTTGCTTCCTATTGTACTACGTTTACCGAAGCCTAATTTAGAGCTATTTGTTTAAATTGCAATGAAATGTTATGTTGCATTGCATCAAATTTGGCATTTATGGCAGTAGCTTGATCTACATCTAAGATCCCTGCAGCCTTTTGGGTGGGGGTTCTAGACATTTCCCCCTCATACCCTTGTTTTCCTTCTGAAAGTTTATCAAGTAGGGCGAAGAACTCTTCACTTGTTATGGATAGGGCTTGTCCACCTGCTGCACTATTAAGAAGAGAACGAGCATTATAATCTAAGCCTTCAAAGAAAGTGTGAGCAAGTACCTCATTGGTTTGCATGTGGTTTGGGCAAGCAATCAACATTTGTTTGAAATGTGCCCATGCTTGGTACATGACTTCCCCTTGTTTTTGAACAAAGTTTATTATCTTCCCCCTTAACTTCGTAGTTTTCTTGGATGGAGAAAATCTACTCATGAACTTCTTTGCTAGATCATCCCAAGTGGTGATGGAGTTTGGTGGCTCAGAGCCTAACCAACGTCTTCCGTCTCCTAACAATGAGTATGGGAACAAAGTCAACCTTACAAAGTCTGATGAGACTCCAATTGGGATGTATGAATTGGTGATGTCTATGAAGGTCCTAAGATGGATTTGAGGATCCTCGTGGGGAAGACCAGTGAATTGCCCATTAGTATGGAGGATCTGTACCATTCTCTCCTTTAGTTCAAATCTACCCCCCGGTGAAGGTTTCCTAATAATGGATGCCAAGTTGGCTGTAAGTGGGACTGCCACATCACAGACTGGTCTTGCGGGAACAACTGGCAGTACTCCTTGGTTATTTGGGTTCCATGGGTTATTCACATTTTCCGGGTTATTCACGTTTTCTTGATTATCATCATCAAAGTTTCCCGGAATACCTAACCCCAATTCTCCTAGGCGTCCCTGGTTCATTTTTCTGCGCTGGCATAAAACTCTTTCCAGTTCGTTGTAAGGTTCGACAAGATCTCATTTCTGAGCCAAACCTGAAAATCAAGTACCTGCAATACACAAGCTAAGATCAAGTAATTAATATCTAAGTATATTAAGTATAGACTTAAGAAGATTGAATATAAATCAATTTCTAAATCCCCGGCAGCGGTGCCAAAAACTTGTTGCTCTCCAAAATACACGCAAGTGTACGTAGTCACACAAGTAGTATAGATTATTTAAGAAACGAGTTATCGTTCCCAAGGGACTTATGATCAACTTATATTCACTTAACTCTACAACTAAAAGTAACCAAATAAATTTTCAAGAGTTGATGATTTAGTTAAGTAACTACTAATAATTATGCACTAAATAAAAGTAACCTATAGTGACCGACTTTGTTAATATGTTTCAAGAAAGTTTTAAAACAACTCTAGGGCTGCATCATACATTGAATATCATGCATCATATCATTAGCTTAGAATTCACTTCATTTGTCAAATTACTGGTTTATAGGTTTAATAGTATGGTCCAGGTGGTTCGCCTCTCGCCGCCTACCCCAGTTAGCCATCTAACTACATCGTTGAGCGGGGATAGATAAACTAACTGGCCAACATTTATATTTCATCCTATTTCGTAACCAAGTAAGGTGTTCGTCTGGGCGTCACTCCTGAACACTAATCACCTCAATCTAATGGGTGGACTGAGCTCTCTATATCCTCTAGTCTATCTAATTCCTTCTCTTTCGATTTTACGATTAGACACTAGATTTATTCTATGGTGCGCAGGCATAAAATAGTAAAACAAGAATATAGAAGTAATTTGGATTGACAATCGAAAATCAATTCATAACACCTCAAACATTCAACACATAATTCATAGCTACAGCCCCAGAATTAAGGCGGTTAGCTACTCATGCTATTAGAAATCAATAATAGATAAACGTTTATACAAAATTCTGAAGAATAGAAGAGTTAAAGGATTACAAACGTGAATTCTTGCTCTTGCACACTCAACAAACGTCCAACACTTAATAATGAACCCTAGGGGTCTATTTATAATAGTTACAAAAACTAAGACCCAATCCTCAACCAACAAGGAGGCCTATTTAGTTGTATTTTCACTGGAAAAGTCAACCTCTCCTTGGCGTGTCGCGCATGCCATCGTGCCTACAACTTGCCTCTGAAGCCTACACCCTAGCGCGTCGCGCCTCTCAGAGCGCCTGAGAGGCCTCTCTGAAACTTGGCCCTTGGCACCTCGCGCCTAGCAGTGCGCCTGGCCCTGGGGCCTTCATCCTTAGCCGTTTTTCATGCTCTTTTATATCTCTTTTCTTCAAGTTGACTCCAAATCCTTTGAGAGTTCCTGAAACAACTAATCATGTGTGTAAGTGCACAATCATCACAAGTTACACCACAAAATAAGCTAAAGACTAGAGATCATCCTTCAATCTAATCGACTCATGGGCAAATATTGACAACTTAGGCATATAAATATGCCTAAGATCACAGACAAAGGGGGAATTAGAAGACTTTCAGTGAGTCGCGGAGTGCTCTTGGCGACCTCATACTTCTCGCCGAATGTTTCAGATGCCACAACAAATAAAGCATGATAAAATGGGTGAGATAGGGTAATTAGGCGAATCGTGGAATAGTTCGGCGAGCTCGTCATAGCTCGCCGAATGACCCAACGTGCCTACTTTTGACCTAACTTCTAAAAATCTTTTTCGGAACCCTCGAAAACACAATTTAAGCACAAAAAGCACAAATTCGACCGAGACCCATAACATACGAATACCACCCATCACTCATTAACTCCACTGGATGCATGGAGAACAAGATTTCACAGTTTAGGCAATAAAGGCGTGGTTATCGAAAAAAATTGACTCATAAGCAATTATGCCCAATCATGAAGGTTTAGCAGATTTTGACAAGATCACACTTTGTAAATTAATATAATTTTGTAAGATAGTTATGGGGTACGGGACAATAACCTTTTGTACTGATCAAATGGATATTGAGATGCTAGGAAGCACTGTAATCTGACTCGAAGCACAAATCACTCAACCAAAATACTCCGAAAATGTAGGTAATATAAAACTGGAGTGCAGGTGTGAGTTTGGGAAGGTGAAAAAGTGAGGAAAGGAATGAAGTTGAAATTTTTTAAACCTTTGGCTGAAAGACCGTCCAGTTTTCGCCCACTTGGCGACATTAGTCAAGCTCGCCTACTCACTCGGCAGAGCGCCAACAGTTTAGTTTTTTCACCGAAATTTACAGGACCTTTGGTTTACGGGGGGTCCAAACGGTGGTTTCTATCGTGATCGCCGACATGGTCGGCGGTTCGCCAATAATTTCCAAAGATCGCCGAGTTTTACAAACTCCAATGTTGACGATGTCTTGAGTCAAATGACGGATAAGGTCGGATTCATTGACCCCTTCGACAACTCACTGACTGGATCTATTGCTTGCCATTCTTCATTTTTTCGAACACTTCTCATACTTTAACCTGTACAAACAACACACCATTATTTTACCAAGAAATAAAAAAAAGCAATTAAAGGGGTTTTTGGTTACCTCCCAAAAAGCGTCTTAGTTAACATCGCGGCACGACGCAAGTCTACCTTCAAACCTCGCTCTTGGGGTTAGCCATAGTATCACTAGGCAAACCTCCTTGCTGTCTCAGATTTAGGTGAGATGAGATATGATCCATCTGGGTCTCCAACTGCTTGATTGAAACAGAATGGGATGTGACGGTCTGGCTAAAGGTAGAAACATCTTCTTTCATCCCTTTCAACATTTTGTTTGACCTTTCAACTTTGTTGAGGATATGCGAGAGCATATCCTCAGACCTACCACCTTCTAAATCCTTGGGCTTCTGGCGCTTATGGGGAGGCACATATCTATCCTTCTCCCCATCTATCCAGTTTGGATTTTGGTCCCTCCATTCACGATCTCTATCCTTCCAGCCTTCGTCTCTAGCCCAACCTTGGTTGCCACCCTGCCTTGGGTAGTTTGAACGATAGCCCTCGCCTTGATTTGCTAGAAAATTTACCTCCTCATTATATAGGGCTTTAAATTTCATCTCTTCATGATTTGCACACCCTACCTCCACATCGTTGACACTACGGACATCATCCCCCAAGACATTTTTGGATAGGATGTCAAGTTGTGTCATGATTTTGGCCATGTTTTGGTCTGTCTCATTGTCTTTTTCAATCTGCTCCATAGACAGCTTGAATGTGAGAGGGGATACTTGATCCTTGCGAGTGTACCACGCTCTGTTGATGGTGGTCATGCCATCTAAAAGTTGGGCTGCTACTGCATATGGCTGTAGCATTAAGCCTCCAGGCGAGAGTTGGTCAGAGACACCTTTGTTTACCGAATCCAAACTCCGGTAAAAGTATTGAAGTAGCACGTTGTCCGGCAAACCGTGAGTTGGGCATTGCAGCACCAACTTTTTGAACCTTCACCAAGTTTCGTGTAGAGGCTCGAGATGGTATCATAAGGAAAACTCCCCTTTTGTCTTCAATTTAGATGAGTAGTAACTTGACCTAGTTGGGTCTCCAGCTGCCTAATGCAAATTGAGCGAGAAGTCACTGTCTTTGATAAACTGCAGAAGTCATTTTTAAATTCTTCAACACCTTATCGAACACTTCAACCTTGTTCTGGATTCTTGTAAGCATGTATTCAGTACGGTTTCCTTCTGACCCACTTGTATCTTTTGGGGATGGACGATCATGGGTAGGCACATACCTATCTTTTTCCACCTCCCTACCTCTCCATGGTCCAGCACGCCAATATTTATCCATGTTCCCCCCTTTTGGATGATAATTGGTGTGAGACCCCCCCCCCCCACTCACTTCATTTCCCAAGAATCAAACTTCTGTATTATATAATTCCTCAAATTTTGCATCGTTTTGCCACTGCTCACTATTGGTTCCAACAACATTTATTGAGTTTGTACCACCTCCCATGACATTTTTGGATAACAAAAAGATTTAGGTCATCTTTTGGCTATGTTTTCATCCTTTTCATGGTCCGTATTAATTCGTTCCTTAGATAGACTCACTAGAAGAGTAGGTTGGCGGTCCTCTCTATAGTTACATGCTCTGTTAACCTTAGTCATATCGTCAAGCAGCAAATCAGCCACCCCATATGGTTTCTCATCAAACCACCATGGACTAAGTGATCGGCCACACTCTCATTTGTTGTGTCAAGACTGAAATAAAAGTATTGCAGCAATAAATATTTGGGGATGCCATGCGTTGGACATTGTAAGGGTAGCCTTATGAACCTTAGTCATGCCTCATGCAATGGCTTACCTCTTATTCCCTCAAAATTCTGAATTATGTAACAGATTTCAACCATCTTTGAGGGTTGAAAGAACCTCTCAAAGAATGCATCAGTGAGATCATCCCATGAAGTAATTGAGTCATTTAGCAATTCTTCTAGCAACCTTTTAGACTCTCTCGTTAAAGAGAATGGGAATAACCTCATCCTTACGAATTCTTGGGAGATATCTTTGAACACAAAGGGTCCGCATACCTCTTTGAAATTCGTAAGGAGTTCATGGGGATCTTCGTGAGCCAAGCCCCCAAATATTCCTTTTATCTAGAGCAATTGTATCAAAGTTCTTGTCATGCGAAACACAACCCTCCAAGTTTTAGGGGGGGGGGGTTCAGATTGCTCCCGTTGTCTGAACAACATTAACATGCATGTCTCATGATTCAAAGTAAAATCTAGACGTTAAATGGCGTATAGGACCTCGAGAGGCCCTACACAAGCCACATAGCATACATCATACAAGATATAGAAGTAAAGAGTTTAAAAGTAGTTTTTCAAATGAAATAGTTTGACAAAAATAGCGTAATTCTAACATATGTCTCAAAGACATCTAACACATAAAAGGAGTGATTGGGACGTAACCCATACATCACACACAATATCAGAAAGTGAAAGACATGAAAGTAATAAAAAGATCTCGGTCCT